AAAGTTCATGACAAATTTTTTTAGACACTGATAAATCAAGATGATCAAGGTCCAAATTCAAAATTAAATAAGTTGACTTTTAATTCTTTTTGTCCTCCATATCAGAGCATCAGTTTGCTGTTAATGAAACACTTTAGATTTATATGTTTTATGTCTTTATTTAAAGGTTTAAATCATAGACTGTATAAAAGGGTTTAAATTGAAGGTTTAACTTCCTGTTTACAATAAATTTGATGACGCTATAAAACTGCAGGTTTTTACCTGAGGACAGAAACATGATGACGGAGCGAGGAGTCAGCTGATTATTAAATAACATAAGTAAATATTTGTATAGAAGCTGCGAGCAGCAACAGTTAGTGTTGTTTTTAATTTTGTTGTTGAGAATTTGGGGATAATTAATAAATAATAAATCTCAGGATGTAAGTTATTATTATTTTCAAAGAATAATAAAAACATTTGTTTAATGAGAAAAATATATTTTTTAAAATACTTCATCTCAGTCTGATAAACTAAACCTTTGTTTCCTCTGTAACAAGATCAGTCTGTCGTTATTTGACATAATAAATAATCTGTGCGCACTGACCTGACAAACAATGAGAACAATGATCTCAATATTATTCCAGAATAACTGATTAATCTCGTTGTCTCAGGATTATTTAAAGAGAATTACACTGACGTCATTATCTCATGTTTAGTCTTTGTAACACTGACTCCATGTTTTAAACACTAAAGTAAGAAAACAGCTTCGAGGTTTAAATATGTGATGAAACACTTCTGTGGTTTCAGATTATTAATGTGTTAAATTAACAGGAAAGGAGGAGCTCTAACACAGTACAGTAACACTGCAGCACCATAATAACACTGCAGTATGGAGGTAGGGAGGAAGAGGAGGAGGGAGGACGAAGGCAGCAGTCTGTCACTCAGGATCCTTTTTCTTTACCTGCACACCTGGAGGACAGATACAGAAGAGGAGGAGGAGGAAGAGGAAGAAGAAGAAGGAGAAGTTAGGGCTTCCTCACATCTTACATAGTTCAATATTCTGAACAAAAACAGGCCGGTTAATATTTTCAGTCTTTGGACTCAAAGAGAATCAGACGTCAGAGACTTCTGTCAAACATTTGTCTGAAAAGTTCTGTCTAGAAAGAGAGAAGAGATTTCACCACTGAAGTTTAAACATTTGTGATTTGTGTTTCTGTTTTATCATCAATAATATAAACTTTTTGTCAATAAAAAGAGGGAGGCAATATCAAATCATTTAAGCACTGGGGACTTGTATTTTGTCTGAGGGGAGGGGCATACAGATTTAAATGGTTGGATTTATTTATTTATTGTTTTTTGCCACCAACTTTTAAAGAAACCACGCAGGTCGATCTGGAAGGTGTTTTCTTTAAAAGTTTTTGCTTTTTTTTTCTTTTAAAAAGTTTGAGTGATTTTTTTTTTTTTTTTTTTTGTATGTCCTTTTTAACAAGCTAGAAAAGTGTCAAAACCATACAGTACTTGGTTGAAACATAATATTTTAACAACAAAAATACAGCAGCTGACTGGATGCCCATTAACATTGTAACTCCTATTGTGACAAGAAGGGAAAAGGCAGAGATAAACACTGAAAAAGTCAATTACTGTTAATGTGCTAATGTTACATGTTGTACATTTCATTTCAAATTAAAGTCCAAAAAATAAGCCCAAGGTCCATTTTTGGTATTTTTGGTACTCACTATAGGGGGCTGGTTTACTCCAGAAACATACATGCTGTTTATGTGTATGCTGAGGAGCTGCTGTATCAAAATGAGTTGTCTTCCCCCAGAAATTAGGGTTACGATATGTTTCTTTTATGATTCCAATCCATTCCTCTTTTGCTGTGGGTCAGCATTTAAATAACCTTTATCAAATTTTAGTCACAGACTTTCCCAAAAAGTGTTTTTCTTTCACAAATGTTGAAATGTTAAAATGAAATGTACAAAACAGTGAGATTTATCTCGTCTGGCCGGGCAGCTCTCTGGGTGCTCAGCACCCCTAAACCTCTGATCCTAGAATCGCCCCTGTCCTGACTTATCTCCTGATTAAATAAACAACATACAATGACATCATGACACGTTCCTGCTCAGAAATATAAGTACAAGACAGCTATGGAGACATCACATGTGGACAGCAAGAATGGTGAGTGGCTATTTGTTTTCTCCTATACATTTCTTATGGTGGATATTAATGATAATACAGACAACATTTGGACATTTGAAAAAAGACTTAAACTCTTTCTTCATCTTTAATTTGACTAGACGTGGTGAGGGCACATTATAAAAAAGATGTAATCATGGGGAAATTCAGCTGTATTATATTACCAGAGCTTTGCAAGTCTGTCACTCAGTGTAACTCCTCCACCTCTTGTATCTACCCTGTACCTACAGCATTTTTTGCAGGTGTTCTACAGTGTTTCAGGTCAAGTCCTGAAGATTAGAAATACACCAGTTCAAACAGGCATCTTCCTAGAATGCTTCAAAACAGCTGTTGTAAAACCCATACTAAAGAAACCCAACCCATATGGAAATGCACTGACCAGCTACAGGCTGATAGCCAACCTCTTATTCATTAGTAAGATACTTGAAAAAATAATATCAGTGCGAATAATTCCTTTCTTAAAGGGCCAGTGTGTAAAATGGGTTGAAAACAGTGACATCAGTGGTCAAATTCTAGATTGCAGGGCTCACTCGCTCACCCCTCCCGTCGGGTAAATGACGGTGGCCTCGTTGGGACAAAAAGCCTTGCGCACGAGTTTTTCAGGAGTAGGTCTATCTAGCGACGAGGTGAATGTTTATTTAGAAATCTAAGCCATGTTACGATATTGTAATGAATCACTCATGAGCAGGAGACCAGAGGAGCGTTCGGGAAAAAGGCCCGTTTATTTGAGCACTCCAAAAACTCCGGTAACACTCCAGGGGGTAAAAGACTCCGTCCCAAACTCTGACTCTTCTAGCGTAACAGACACACTTCATAACTTTACACACATACTCGTTTACCATTTTAAGTGGGGACCCCCCTCCCCTCTCTGCTCCGCCAATCTCCAGCCCGCACACTGACTGACAGCGTAGCCTGTAAACAGAGCTCAGCTGTTTATTTAGCCTAGCAATATCTCCGGACTATAGTAGCTGCAATGGACGACTTTGAACGCGATTTTGAAGAGTTTCTTGTAGCGGACACAGA